AATGATGGTCGTATAACTGCATCATTGGAAAAAACTTACAACGTCTTAAATTCAGTGCTTTGAAGGATACACGTGTTTTAAGAATTACCTTTTTTTCCCCCAAAGATAATTGAGTTTAATTTTCCTTTTTAAATCACTCTTTTTTCAAAGCAGTTACTTTGGATATTCACTGGTAATAGGCAGTAATATTTGATTTTATTTTCAGATCAAGGTCAAGAATCAAAGGATTTAGCCCAGTGGCTAAAAAGCACTACTAAATATTGATTCAGGATGACCAAAAGTCTAGAAGCTCCCCAAAAAGGAGCCTCAAAAAGGATAAGAGGGGTGCCTGCGTGGCTCAGTCGGTTAAGCATCTGACTCTTGATTTCGACTCAGGTCATGATCTCACAATTTGTGAGTTTGAGCCCCATGCCGGGCTCTGCGCTGACAGCCTGGAGCCTGCTTGGGATTCTCTCTCCCTCTCTCTTTCTCTGCTCCTTCCTCTCTCTCTCTCTCTTAAAACAAATAAATATACTTTTAAAAAAAGATAAGAAACAATTTTCTTTTTTTAAATTTAAATTCAAGTTAGTTAACATACAGTATAGTCTTAGCATCAGGAAGAGAACTCAGTGATCCATCTCTTACGTAGGACACCCAGTGCTCATCCCCAAAAGTGCCCTCTTCAATGCCCATCACCCATTTAACCCATCCCCCACCCACCTCCCCTCCAGCAGCCCTCAGTTTGTTCTCTGTATTTAAGGGTCTCTCTCTCTTTTTTAAATATGAAATTTATTGTCAAATTGGTTTCCATACAACACCCAGTGCTCATCCCAACAGGTGTCCTCTTCAATGCCCATCACCCACTTTCCCCTCCCTCTCACCCCCCATCAACCCTCAGTTTATTTTAGTTTTTAAGAGTCTCTTATGGTTTGCCTCCCTCCCTTTCTAACTTTTTTTTCCCCTTCCCCTCCCCCATGGTCTTCTGTTAAGTTTCTCAGGATCCACATAAGAGTGAAAACATATGGTATCTGTCTTTCTCTGTATGACTTATCTCACTTAGCATCACACTCTCCAGTTCCATCCACATTGCTACAAAAGGCCATATTTCATTCTTTCTCATTGCCAAGTAGTATTCCATTATATATATAAACTACATCTTCTTTATCCATTCATCAGTTGATGGACATTTAGGCTCTTTCCATAACTTGGCTATTGTTGAAAGTGCTGTATAAAAATTGGGGTACAATTGCCCCTGTGCATCAGCACTCTTGTATCCCTTGGGTAAATTTGTATTTAAGGGTCTCTTAAGGTTTGCCTCCTTCTCTGTTTTTATCTTATTTTTCCGTCCCTTCCCCTATGTTCTTCTGTTGAGTTTCTCAAATTCCACATATGAGTGAAATCATGTGATATCTGTCTTTATCTGACTTATTTTCCTTAGCATAATACACTCTAGTTCTATCCACATTGTTGTAAATGGCAAGATTCCATTCTTTTTCATCGCTAAGTAGTATTCCATTGTATATATAAACCACATCTTCTCTATCCATTCTTCAGTCAGGGGACATTTGGGCTCTTTCCATAATTTGACTATTGTTGATAGCACTGCTATAAACGTTGGGGTGCATGCACCCCTTTGAATCAGCATTTTTGTATTCTTTGGATAAATACCTAGTAGTGCAATCGTTGGATCATAGGGCAGTTCTATTTTTAATTTTTTGAGGACCCTCCATACTGTTTTCCAGAGTGGCTGCACAAGTTTGCATTCCCACCAACAGTGCAAAAGAGATCCTCTTTCTCCACATCCTCACCAACATCTGTTGTTGCCTGAGTTGTTCGTGTTAGCCATTCTGACAGGTGTGAGGTGGTATCTCATTGTGGTTTTGATTTGTATTTCCCTGATGGTGAGTGACGTTGAGCATCTCTTCATGTCTGTTAGCCATCTGGATGTCTTCTTGGGAGAAGTGTCTGTTCAGGTCTTCTGTCCATTTCTTCACTGGATTATTTGGTTTTTGGGTGTTGAGTTTCATAAGTTCTTTATAGATTTCAGATACCAACCCTTCATTAGGTAAGGAATTTTCTAATAAACAGAGCTGTCTGAAATTGACATGTGCTTCCTTGGGTGAAAGTGAATTCTCCCCAGATTCAAGTGGTGACTGCAGACTCCATTGGCAGGGATGTACAAGAGAAGTTTCAAGCATCTACTGAGGTGTTGGGCTTCTGTGAGCACTCTGTGGGTATGCGGCTGGAGCCAGGCTCCACAAATGTGTTACAGCTGGAAGTGTCCTGAGCTTCATGCAAAAGACTTCTTCCAGCTTTGGATCCTGCGGGTGTGTAGATAAAAGTCTTCCATGGTGTGCCATTAGAATTCAATTTTCAGGGGCGCCTGGGTGGCTCAGTCAGTTAAGTGTCCGACTTCAGCTCAGGTCACGATCTCGCGGTCTGTGAGTTCAAGCCCTGCGTCGGGCTCTGGGCTGACAGCTCGGAGCCTGGAGCCTGCTTCGGATTCTGTGTCTCCCTCTCTCTGCCCCTCCCCCGTTCATGCTCTGTCTCTCTCTGTCTCAAAAATAAATAAACATTAAAAAAAATTTAATAAAAAAAAAGAATTCAATTTTCAGGATGGTAATCCCCTAACCTGTTGTTAAAGATGTTAGAGTGTCACTATACAGTTCCGAAGGACGCCATCCTGTATGGATTGAAAACAGTCCCAGAGATCATTTGCAGTAAAGCAAATGTGCACATTTGTGTTGGCTTCAAGGCCACTGAATACCTTTTCTTGACATGCTAAGTTTTCTGGAAAATAATTGAAGAATTGCCCTTATTATTGGTTTAATCGATGAGATTGTTGATCTCAAGTGCAGACGTATTTCTCGGGGAAAATGCTGAACGGCATAGTTCTTTTTCCAGAAGCACTTCATGGCCTAAAATAATATATTCAGTCCTTAAGAGAGCTAGCGTGTTCTTCCAAATAGCCTGGCAGAAGAGGAGAAAGCCCCAGATGGTCGGGTTTGGCAATGCTTGGGCCACTGTGTTCAGGATGCCATCTTTAAAGTAGATGAGGATTTATTTCATAGTCAAGCAGGGAAGGCGAAGCATACTTTAGGATGGCATGTTTAAATAACCCCCTCCTTAGAAGTTGAAAGAACCTGAGCACAGATTCTTTTCACTAAATTAATTCCTATTGTAGTCCTTCTACTTCGTTGTTCCACAGATATGCAGTGGGCACTGCTGAGTATTGTACTGTGGAAGATGGTATTGCCGTGAGGGGCACAGATGCAACCAGATACCAGCCTTAGGCCGAAGTAACTCGAAATATTTGGGGCAGGCAAGATGGAAAAGTAAGCAACTGCAGAAGCGTGTCTGAAGCATGCCATTTAATGGATCAGGACATAGGGACAGTGGAGGTCAAAGGGAGGAAAGGATATTGCTTTTGAGTTATTTAAGGGTGGAGTGGTTTCAATGAGTCCTGCAGGCTGGCCCAAGGAAGGGGACAGGTGTGTTCCATTTGGCAGAAATGTCAGGGGCAATGAGAGGCAATTACTTTGGTGATTAGGACTTCACTGTTGACCTTCAAGAGCAGGACTTTCAGCAGAGGATGTTATTAGAAGTCAGAGCGCAGTGAGCTACAGGGCAGATGCATATGCGGCAACAGTGAGTTGCTTGCTCATTGAAGATGTTTGCTAGGGAAGGGGGAAAGGACAGCAGAGTCAATGAGATTTTTTTTTTTTTCTTAGAAGGGGAAATTGTTATTTTGAAAGCAGAGACTAGTGGGTTATGGAGAGGTTAAATATGTTTGAAAGGGAATAATTACATTGCAAGATCCCAGGGAGAATAATGTTAATAAAGGAAAGCAGCATGAGATAATTGATAGTATCTAAACAAAATTTTTTTAGTGTGTATTTTTTTGAGAGAGAGAGCACCAGCGGGGGAGGGGCAGAAAGAGAGGGAGACACAGAATCCAAAGCAGGCTCCAGGCTGACAGCACAGAGCCTGACACGAGGCTTGAACTCACAAACTGTGAGATCATGACCTGAGCCGAAGTTGGATGCTTAAGTGACTGAGCCACCCAGGCACCCTGACAGTAATTTTTTTAAGTTTATTTATTTTGAGAGAGACAGAGACAGCACGAGTTGGGGACCGGCAGCGAGAGACGGGGAGAGAGAATCTAAAGCAGGCTGTGCACTGTCAGCACAGAGCCCCGTGTGGGGCTCGAACCCACAAAGTCACAAGATCATGACCTGAGCCGAAACCAACAGTTGCAGGCTTAACCGACTGAGCCACCCAGCTGCCCTGATAGTATTTTTGATAGGGAAAGGAACTGCCATAAAATGTATTTTTGTATTTTATATAAAAACATTGCAGTAAGAAACTGAAATGTCATTAGTGGTTAGTGATTCAAGTAAGAAGTTGGGAAAGAAGAAAGATTAAAAGTAGTTCCATATTTAGAGGCTCGTTCTTTAAAGAACATTAATATTTGATACCTTCTGGTTGTAATTTATTGGGATTATTCCTTCTCGTCCAATGGAACACCAGGAAATACAAACTGCAGAGAGGAGATTTTCTGGACCTTGCCTCTGTCTGTCTCGTATCTGTCAGACTTACTCCACGTGTGCCAAGGCTTGTCATGCTACCCACCATTTCCCGTCACTGGTTGTTGAACAAGGCTGGGAAGGAGAGGCGAGTAGCCCCCAATGTGGATGAGACTTAACGATCCCCACGAAGCTTGCTTTTAGTAAAGAAGTATTCCAAGAGCTCTGCCATTGAGGAGTAAGCAAGTTCAATCGCCTATGATGACCGCCATTATGGACGACTTCACAGTCAAGACGCTGAGAACATTCGTGTGTGTGTGTGTGTGTGTGTGTGTTGTGTGTGCTTACTAAACCTTCTGAGTGTGTATTCAGTTTTACCACCTCCTCACTGTTTGAGATCCATATTAATGCCTCTGGCTTAGTTCATAATTGTGTCATTTAAAGGAGTTTTTCTCCCGGAAGGACCTCACGAGTGTTAACCCTTGTCCTCCTCAGACACGGGTGTGTTTGCAGTGGTGAACAGCCATTCCTTGTCTCTGCTCGGGAAGCTGACGATCAGTGCTGCCTTTAACGTGGTCTACATCTACACGTCTGAGCTGTACCCCACAGTCATCAGGTATGCCTCACACATCCCGCATGTTTCGCTGTAGATGCTCACAGCAACAGAGGTGTGGTTCTCATTCCACCGGGAGCACAGTGAGTGGGGGCCAGCAACAAGTCAGCGAGCAGCCGCAAGCCCAGAAGCTGTCTGTGTAGACCACACTTTGCCCGCTTGGCTGGGGAAGGCGGAGCTGTGTTTTGGGCCGAACTCCCTTGTGTAAATCGTGAGAGAAGTACTCTACGCAAAGCACATCCCATCACCCAAATGGGGCTCGGTTGCCATTCTTATTTCAGTGGACTTGATTGATTCAGTCACCCAGCCTCTGTCAGGCACAGACGGACAAGAGGACTGGGTCCGTGTTCTCTCAGAACCTACATTTGAACACAAAATATACACATCTGTAAAAAGATAATTCCAGGGGCACCTGGGTGGCTCAGTTGGTTGAGCGTCCGGCTCTTGATTCCCACTCGGCCATGCTCTCACAGTTCATGGGTTTGAGCCCCACGTCGGGCTCCATGCTGACAGTGCAGAGCTGCTTGGGATTCTCTCTCTGCCCCTCCCTTGCTCGCACCCTCTCTCTCTCTCTCTGTCTCTCTGTTCTTCTCTCTTTCTCTTAAAATAAATAAACTTAAAAAAAGATATTTCCATATAGTAATAAGTGAACAGGAGGTTTACGTATTGATTGTTAAGTGTGGTTTCTAACAAGTAGGACATGCTTATATGAAAAACAACATATTCGATCTGAAGTTTCCCCTTCTAAAAGAAGTCTGAAAACAAAAAATTAAACCCAAATTTGAAGGGCAGGGACCCAGCTTATTCTTCTCAGAATTGCCTCTGTGAACCCAGCGGGCATTCCCTAGGTCGGCCCTTCCCCAGTCGTTCTGAGGAGCGTTCCAAGTGTTTCCCACATCCATCAGACTTCCTGGTTCTTTCCGCCTATTAATATCAGCTCCCTTTTCTTCCAGTTTTTCCCAGACTGCATGTGATTGACTAGTCATTTCCTAATTATTCCTCTGACCTGTTTTCTCTGCCTGCTGGCTATGAAACTAGGATGATCATTTTGTCCAAACTGGGACACTCTGGAGAGCGGATATGGGTGGGTGGGGGGAGCGGTGGATGGCCACCTTGCCTGTTCCCTCGTTCCCACGCCCTACCCCCGTTTGCATGTCCATACTCCTCACAAACGTAATGTTCCTCGTTCCTATTTATAATGCCTGACCCTTTAATCGCCAGTTAGTTGACTTTAACTAAATGGGCAAACTTCTCAGATCCTAAAGCCCTGGGTCTCCATGGCTATATTAATTCATAGCCATGAGAACATTTGACACAAAACCCATGAGAACATTTGGCAAGAAATATTCACATGGTCATTTCTGTACTATTCTCTATAGTAACCGCACTGTCCAGTATGGTAGTTACTAGCCTCACGTGGCTATTTAAATTTAAATCCGTTAAAGTGAAATAAATTAAAAATCCAGTTCCTCGGGGTGCCTGGGTGGCCCAGTCAGTTAAGCATCCGACTTCAGCTCAGGTCATGATCTCATGGCTCATGAGTGTGAGCCCCACATCAAGCTCCGTGCTGACAGCTCAGAGCCTGGAGCCTGCTTCAGATTCTGTGTTTCCCTCTCTCTCTGCCCCATCCCTGCTCGCACTCTGTCTCTCTCTCTCTCTCAAAAATAAACATTAAAAAAAAAAAATCCAGTTCCTCATTCTCACTAGCCACATTTCAAGTGCTCATAGCCGCAGGCATCTAGCAGCTTCCATACTGGACAGCGCAATTATAGAACATTTCCAGCATCTCGGAATGTTCCGGTAGGCAGCACTGCTCTACAGGAGCCTGTGCCTCCTCCACTGTGTGATTCATGATTATAGGTCCACTAAGCCATGGCATCTTTAAATTCTACCCCCCACCCAGAACTTACTGACTTTCCCCCCTTTTTTTATTCCTTTCAGGAATGTTGGGCTTGGAACCTGTTCTATGTTCTCCCGAGTTGGTGGGATTATCGCTCCCTTCGTCCCCTCACTGGTTGGTTTGTACCTCCTAGTTTTGTTTTTCTCGATCCTCTGCTTTGGAAATGCTTATGCTTTTGAGTAGAAAGGGGTAAGGAGCAGTTGCCACTTACGATCAGCCTGACCCAAGTGTGAACCTTGTGCCTTCTAGATTAAGGACCCTTTTAGGTGACGGATCCCTCGGGGCAGATGGACTCGTACCAGAGGCTCTGACTGTTTGCTTCTCTGTATTTACTGGAGGGTTAGCTAATGCCAGCTTGCCCCTTCCCGTCTCCATTCGTAGGTTAGTCACTTAGCGAATATTTTTTAAGTTTCGGCTGTGGACTGGGCTCTGTGCTGAGCACTTCAGCACACATCGTCTCAAGTACTATTCACAGCCACCGTGTGAGGCAGCATTATCGTTACCCTCTAATAAAGATGAGAAATGCAGCAGAAGCAGATTAACTTGCCCGATGGCACACCACTTAGAATAAGAAAACTAGGGGCGCCTGGGGGGCTCAGTCGGCTAAGTGTCCGACTTCGGTTCAGGTCACGATCTCACGGTTCGTGAGTTCGAGTCCTGTGTCGGGCTCTGTGCTGACAGCTCTGAGCCTGGAACCCACTTCACAGTCTGTTTCCCTCGCTTCCCGCCCCTCCCCCACTCGCACTCTGTCTCTCTCTCTCTCAAAAATAAATAACCGTGAAAAAATTTCTTAAAAAGAAAATTAGAAGAGGAAATACGCCTAGCAGTGTGTCTATTAAGAGTTTCTAGCATTTTCTAAAGTTCATGGTCAAAAGATAGACTAAACGGCAGTTCTGAAGATCCTTCCTGAACTTGACATGTTCAGGTTCTGTGACAGAATCCATGGAGCCCTACGCATGGCTGTGCTTGGTCTGACCTGTGGCCTTGCCAGCCAGGACTCGGCAAAGGCTGACTAGATTGGGTGTGCGGATAGCTGTTTGTCACTCGGGCAACTTTTCTTAGCACTTCTTAGCAATGCTGGCGGGCCAGGTCCACGGACCCAGCGGGGTTCCCTCAGGACCAGCCCAGAGGGCCCTTGCCTTCACGCAGGATAGAAGTCCAACACGAGCCAGCAGGAGGTGAAAGCAGCATTTACTGAAGATACAGAGAGAGCAGGTACACACAGAGTGAGTGTCCGAGAGACTCAGAAAGGAAAGGAGAGAGTCTCGTCATTGTTCAGGGTCAGGGTTTTTCTTGAGGACGGGGCTCTGGGGGTACGTGTCCTCTCAGGCAGCCAGGAACCGGTTGGATCAAGGATGAGGGGCCAGGTGTTACACCTTGGAGCCAGGGGATCTTGGCCATGAACTGTCTACCCCAGGGGTCTGGAATACGCGTGCGATAGCTTCCTCTGGTCATTCTCACTTGCCCCTTCCTTAGATGTTATCTGTTCTAGAGAAATCATTAACTCCTTGTCCCTTACAAGGACATATGCTGTTTACATTACAAGGCATGTGTAAAGTGGGGTGAGGGTACAGGTCCTAGGAAGACTAGAAACAGGTAAAGCAGCAAAGCCATGAAACAGCTTTCTCTCTCCCAGGGTCCCTTCGGTTTCCCTGTCTCACTAGTACAGGAGGATGTCTTGGAAAAGCCTTTCCTTTCTTTCTTTTTCTGAGTCCACTTCCTTCTCATGAGTATCTCTTTCCGTGTTTCATGCTTAATTTTGCATTACAAGACCATCCTCTCATACGGATTTGCTCCATTCTGCAAAATGTGTCTGACATCAGGTGTTTGTCTCTAAAGATCTCCGACTTTGGATGGCCCTCCTAGAACGTTAGAAAACCCAGCACTCTGTCTCTACTGATCCCTGCTCAGTTGAGAAGAGATCAAAGTGTTGTGTCTCCCTTGATTCAGCAACACACCCACAGTGTTGGACGTGTGTTTCCATGTGGGTGGCAGAGGTGAGATTCTCCCCTCCCCGCTCCCCATCACCTCCATTCCCCCCTGCCCTCTTCTCGATCATCTCCATCATCTCTTTACTTCTGAAAAATCAGGAACTTATTAAATCCGAGAGGAGATCCTAACTAGTAGTGGTCTCACCCACAGAGTTTGGAAGCCCAAATGAGAAGATGATAATACCATTCTTGTGCAGGAATTTAAGAATGTTAATCAGCTCAGAAAGGCCCAGAGCAGCATCCCAAAGATAGTTTTCTGTGTTATCTTTGAACCTGTGTGTGCCTAAAAATTTTTTTTTAACATTTATTCATTTTTGAGAGACAGAGACAGAGCACACGTGAGGGAGGGGTAGAGAGAGAGGGAGACACAGAATCCGAAGCAGGCTCCAGGCTCCGAGCTGCCAGCACAGAGCCCGACGCGGGGCTCGAACTCACAAACCGTGAGATCATGACCTGAGCCAAAGTCGGAAGCTTAACCGACTGAGCCACCTGGGTGCCCCGAACCTGTTTGTGTTTAAAGAAACTATGTTAATATTCCCGAGAATGTCTTTTGGATCTCTGAAGCAATGCTTGAATTACCGTGTTCGGTTCAGGTAGTTTCCAAACCACACGGGGGTGCTAGGTTCTTCAGGCTTCTCTCTTTCTTTTCGGGGTGTTTACACCCTTAACCCCTGTCTTCCTGGTTACGGTGCCGAATGAATGAGCGAGCATACGTGGGATTGTTTGGCCGATTCCAAGGTTGAGAACGTCAAAGTTCATCGGGAGCGAGTATCTGGGGAGTCTCCTAAGTGAAAAGTATGTGGAGATCCCCGTGTTATAAGAGAGTCACCTGGAGCAAAAGCAGTACCCACCCCACTCCTTCTGATCCCCATACCTCTGCTGCCTTTTTATGTTCTCGCTCTCCCTTCTGTGTGGCCGAGCAACCACTCGGTGATTTTCCAGGGTCTCTCTCGTTGGGGAACAAGTGGCTGACAGTACATTCTAGTGGGGAGGCGTGAGTTGGGTAGTAAATGTGGCAGCTCCTCGGTCGTAAGACTACTGATGTCATGTGCTGGGAAACGAATACTGAGTTTTTGTATGGTTTTTGTTCTACTCTCTGCCCCCACAGAAATATGTGCAGTGGTCCTTACCCTTCATTGTCTTCGGAGCCACCGGCCTGACTTCGGGCCTCCTGAGTTTATTATTGCCAGAAACCCTTAACAGCCCATTGCTAGAGACATTTTCTGACCTTCAGGTGTATTCATATCGGAGGCTGGGGGAGGAGGCGTTATCTTTACAGACCTTGGATCCCCCACAGGTATGGTGGTAGTTTTTTTTTTTTTTAACGTTTATTTATTTTTGAG